TGTAGCTGAAGTATTTTAGAGTCTTTATTCATCCAAAATTAAATAATGATTAACCTATTATATGCTTGCATGAATAACATTTTTTTAATGAAAAATAACTATCTCTTAGAAAACAAAGAATAGCGAGAATAATGTTATCCATTTACTTTTTTTGGTGTTAATGTCTTTTGTGTCTGGCTTAAGAGAGAAGAGCTGAAGTCTCATATATGCTTCTTCGTTAAATCTTTTGCAATATTCCATTTCAGATAGCATTTGAAATACTCTACCGTGTACTCATAAGAGAATGATTCTGGAAATGGCAAGTAACATCTTGGGATTATTAGAAAAACAGTTGAGACCTTGTTGATCCCCAGAAAAGCTCTTCTAAGTCCTCCACAGGTCCCCAGACCACACTTCAAGATCACTTACCTTGGGCAAGATTAACCTAGGTATGATAGGGCTTGACCCTTCTGGGATCTCAAACGAATATGCTAGATATTTGAAGAGGTATTCATATTCTCCACTTTGGTTTTTGGGAACTCCAGTGATTCCCTACCCTTTGTGACCTCTGGGGATTGTTAGCTGTTTTCCTGTAATGTTTCTTTCCCAGCAATGCTGTTCTTTGCTTGTCTTTGTAGAATTTCACCCTATGCATGTGCAGGATACTCCATGCAGACTTCTAGAGTTTTTCTGTAGGATAGCTCCTTCCTCAACTTAATGAGACTGAAAGATTCTATTAGACTGTGCCCTCCCTGCATTGCAGTCTAGAAATTGCCTTCAATCAGAAAGCACAGTTGTACATAGTGCTCACCTCATTCATGGCCATTCTCTCAGGATTCTTAATGCTGCCTGTTGTTTAGTGTCTGCAGATAGTCGTTTCATTTGTGGTTGCATTTAGTTGTTTATGTTGGGGGTAGGGCTAAGTCCTGTAACAGTTATTTCTTCATGTGGAGACATCCCTGACTGTTTGGGTTTTGTTTTTAACCATATCTGTTGAAACAATCACACTGAGGTCTTATGTTCCTATTAAAACATGATATTTGTTGTATTAACCTTCAGTAAAAACTTTCCTTTTAGTATTCTGTTTATATTGATAAAAAAATAACTTTTACACAAAGGGGACGTTTTCCACTATGGTATGAGGAACAATGGGGAATGTAGTCACTTATTATATATGTAAACCATTTGTTTGCCTTTTGTATTAGGCAAGTATGTGGGCGCTTTGTGTCTCAGTTTCTTAGTTATAATGTATCTAGAATGTTAACCGGGAATGATAAACAGAATATTACAACTATTTTGTTTTTTAGTTTTAAGTCTTGTACCTCAGGAGTTAGTAACTACTCTTACATACAGTAGTCATACAGACATAGATTCAAATTCTGAGTCTGTGCTTTACTGGATGTGTAAATGAGACTGTTTGCTTACCCTGAATCTGAGCCTCTGTTTCCTTATCTGTAATGTGGGCATGATAATGCTGTATTAAATAGAAATAAGAACGTTTAGCAACACAGCTGCTGCTGCTGCTTGGGTTTTTGTTTTGTTTTGTTTGGTTTTATTTTTTTGTTTTTGTTTTTGGTAATAGAGCTTCTAATAACAGTGCTTTAAACAAGTGGAAATTTATTTTCTCTTTCTCTTCAATAAGAAGAACCTGGCAGTTCAGAAGTGGTATGACAGCCCATAGTGTATGTATTGTGGATCCAGATTCCTTCTCTTTCCATTCTACCATTCTTAGCTTGAGTTCTATCCTCAAGGTCACCTCATAAGTGCTTGCTGGAATTTTACCCATCATGTCCGTGTGCCAGGCATCAGGAAGGAGTAGGTGGGGGCATTTCTTCCTTTAAAGAAACCTTATAAAATATAGTCATTTGATTCAAATCTTACTGGCCATAACTTAGTCATATGGTTATATCTAGCTTTAAAGGAAGCTGGGGAATAGTCTTTTAGCAGGAAGCTATGAAGAAGGAAGGGAAAAAGGACTGTTAGGTTGGCATCCAGGAGCATCTGTCACTAATGTCTTCTCTTTCAATTTTATGGGTTCCCAATGAATTGAGAAATTATCCAGGAGTCAGTGGGTGGAGTCCAAGATATCATTCTTTTAAAACTGACAAAGCTGATTCTTGAGAAAGGGGCTTATATTTGCAGTTAAGTGTGTTTCCTAATATTAACCCCTAGCATTAAACAGACTTGTCCATCCAGTCATGAAAGTGTTGGGCCAGATAGAGCCTGCCTCTATTAACTTTGTGGCATGAAGGAACAAAGTCAATGTGTGTGTTCTGCCAGCAGGTGTTTCTCAGCAGAAAGGGAGGGGTGGGTGAGGAGAGGCTGAGAGTGTTACATATGGCATCAGAAATGGGGAAGTGTTATCCTCTTTCTTCTCCTTTCCTACAGTACTTTATCCTAAGCGTTTAGCATGGTGCTTGCATTGAGTAAGCGTGCAGTATGATGCTTATTATTATAATGATGATTTGAGCAATTCGAGTAGCTACCACGATGTCTCAGGAACCTGTGCATTTAATCTTCCCTCATGCGTCGCTATTTGACACGTAGCTTGGTTTCTGTGCACTATTATGTTTTTATTTCACCGTGAGATAAAATTGATAAACAATTTTAAAAGGCTGTATAGGTACCTTTTAGAGTAACAGTGTTTAAACTTTCATTGAGGTCATAGTTCCCTTTACAAATATAAAGCAAATTATACATTATGCTTTCCGGGAATACATGGGTCTTAAGAACTTACGGCAGCTAAAATTCAGATACTGCCATATTACTGTAAACTGGTATCAATGACTGTTGAATAAGTACAATTAATTAACAGGAATGCGAGAGTGGTTAAGATCATGTGAGGCAGATGGATAGACAACATGTTTCAACTCCAACTGTGCCTACCTCCTAGCTTTTACCTTAAGCCAGTTAGTATTAACCTGGGTGTTACTGTTTTTCTTTTTCTAAATCAATAAAATGAAGTTGGTAATAGCATCTATATCCAAGGTAGATGAGTAAATAGAAGCCTTACTTCTGGGCTAGAGTATCCACTTGCTCTTTTCTTTTGTTGCTGTTGTTTTTATAGTCATTATTGTTGTTAACCCTTCTTTGCCTTTCTCACCTCACCCTGATTGTCTTGCAAGTTCCAGTGACTTAAGTGCTCTTGAATTTCATAACTTGGAGATAAAATTATTCTGAGCAAACAGCTTGGCCCTTTAGATCTGTTTTTGTTAAAAAAGGAAAAGCAAAAGCCCTCAAGGGTAATCTTCATGATCTTTGATCTTTCCACAATAAGAAAGACCTTTCACAGCCTGCTTCTGGCTCATCAGGGAAAAAGATCTTTTGGATGCCCTTCAAAATTTTCCCTTCTTTATTTGCTTCCTCTCATGTCTCCTTCCTGGCCTGCGAGAAAGAAAATATGTCAGTTTGATACCCCTGGCCCCTTCTGAAAACCTGGTAATGGTATTTAATCCTGTCAGCAGTTCCTGGGTATTTAGTGTTTTATATCTTGATCTGTCTTTATTATTTGAGGAAAAGTTCTTAACTTTCCCCATTCCTTTCTGATGAATAGCTTGGGTTATAGAAGTTTGGTCCCCTCACTAAGAGCTACAGATCCCCTGCTGTTTTTATAGGTTGACTTTTGACACAGACTACTTCTGTTCAAGGAGCTCATTGTTATTAAGTTAGTGCCATTTTATACCAGAACTTAACTTTTAAAGCACATTTAATAGCCTTCTTATTGGTTTTTTGGTTGATGTTTAAAATTGTCTAGTGTTTTTTTTTTTCCCCTAATGACCCAAATAGCACATGCTCAATGTAAAAAAAATTATTCAGAAAATATATAAATCATAAAGAAGAAAAAAAAGCTCTCCCATAGTTCTGCTCCACCAAACTAGTCACTTTTGCTTTTTTATATGATTCTATCTACATCTATCTATATTGTATGTATATAAATATATATATAAAACATATATACCTATACATATATAGAGATTTATATGCTTTTCAAGTTTTTTTTTGTTTTCCCCAGAATGTAGTCCTTCTATATATACTGTTTTGTAATCTCCTTTTTCCCCTAACTTATATGTGTTTGATTGTTTTAAATAGTTGTATAGGATTTCATAGAATGGATATAATTTACTTAGCTAATTCCCTATTGAGATGGATACTTAGGTTGCTTATGATTTTTCAGTAATTTAACCCCAGGATGGTAAACATTTTTCTGCATCCATTTTTAAGTAGTTGTGTTATTTTGGTTTTCTGATGCATTCTTAGAGTTTAATTCATGTGTCAAAGGTTGTATACCTACTAACTGATTATGAAAGTACCTTTTTCTAATCAAATTTGGGTGTTATCAGTCATTTTAATATTTTTCAGTGTGATAACAAAACTAATGTCTGAGTGATTAATTCCTATTTCTTGTGATTATTAGAGATTAAACATATTTTCATGTTTTTTGGCCACTTGCATTTTTTTCTGAGATTAATTTTGTGTTATATAGTCTTGCTTTTTTTCCAAAGATATGTATATTTTGAAAACGGCAGAACTTTATTTCTTGAGATGTTTTAAAATTATACTATTATATACTCTATAATATATATTTACATATTATAAAAATATATTACAAATGATATTGTTTTTGCTGGACTTAATTTCTTACTTAGCTAGTTATTTTCAAGTATTGACATAGGAAAGAAATTAACTAGTAAAGAAAACCAAGCTTGTTAGAATAATTTATTTGTCTAAAATACAAATGAAGAGAATTGAAATTCTTAATGCTTATTTGCACTTTAAGATACTTAGTTTGGTTTAAATGTTTTTAATTTGCTCACATCTGGTTCTTGACCATGTTTTAGATAAGAGATGCCTATATAAATGTGTATTGTATTTTTACTTGTTGTTCATTTTCATCATTGTTAAAATGAAGGGAATTGGGAATTGTTAATTGAAGTACTCATTTTAGCAAACTATGATCAGAAGATACTTGGATATAATCTTTCCACATGATAAGGAGCATGTTTTTATTTTATTGCTTTTAGAAGAAAAACAACAGTGAAGACATTATGTATTTATGCAGACTACAAATCTGATGAAAGCTATACTCCAAGCAAGATCTCAGTCAGAGTAGGAAATAATTTTCACAATCTTCAAGAAATTCGGGTATGTTTTTCACATTTTAAAAAATATGTTCTGTGACTCTTGCTCTTTAGAAAAGAGTCACATTTGACATTAGATTAGACAGATTAAAATGTTAATACATAAAAGGAATATTGTTAATATTTAAGAAAGCATTTTTAATTTTTTATATTTAAAAATTTTTTTGATTCATTTGTCATCTTATTTTTTTCCTAGTGTTTTATTACAGAAATTTTCAGATGTATAGAAAAGCTGAATTGTATATAGTAAACCGCAGTATACTCACCTCCTAGAATCTGTAATTATCAGTGTTTTGCTTTATTATTAACTGTCCATCAATTCATCTAATTTTTATATGCATTTCAAAATAACTCGCAGAAATTTGTACTTATCACCGCAAATACCTCAGAGTAATATACGATAACTGGAGTTTTGAATATCTGCTTCAGGTTCATTTTTTAAGGTACAGTTTATGTGCAGTTTCCACAAATCTTAAATATATTTGTGAGTTTTCACAAATGCAAAAACATATCTGTAACCCTGACTCCTATTAACATATAGAACATTTTCACTACCCCATTAAATTTCCTCGTATCTCTTCCCAACCAATCTCCATCTCTATGCTACTCTCAGAGGTAAGTGTTGTTCTAATTTTTTTGTTTGCTCATTCATTCGTTCATTCATTTATTATATAGATCATTTTATTCTGTTCTAGCATGTCATATAAATGGAATCACAGACGGTATAACTTATTGTGAGGCTTCTTTCACTCAGCCTAATTTTTTGACAGTCCATCCATGTTGTGTGTATAGCAGTACTTCATTTTTCTATATTCCTGGAGTATCATTGTTTGAATATACCCCAATTTATTTATCTGCTATATAACTTTTCGAAGCTATCAGGATAATGCTTTTGTGACCTGAATGTTATTAATGCTAAAATATTTACATTTCAGAGATACTTTCAGTGAGTTTGAACTTTGTACTTGAAAAGTTCTGGCCCTTTGCATCTTTTCTTGTCAGAAAGTCATTGAGTTCAAACAATCATTAAAATCTTTTGAATTAGGTGATTCTGAGAGATCTGGGAAGCACCTGTGATTTTTGAAAGACTTCCAGCCAATTTGTGGCCTGGACTCTTATTTGAGTTAGTGTTTATAATAAAGACCCTGTCTCTACATTTATATTTCTTCCCTGAGTTAGTAACAAAATAGCTTAATAAGAATCACATATACTTTCATTACTTACTCATTAAATGCAGTGTTGTTTCTTTGTGAAATTTGTTTATGTGTTGATGAATAAGGACATTGTCACCCACAGATATTTTGTTTTTTTAATTTTTTCATCCTTTGAGGTAAGTTTGCAACTTTTTTGAGATGACCACCTGGTCTTATTCCAGTTATCTTCCTTTGCTTTTACGGAATGTGAAATAAGTCAAGCAGAAAACAGAATAATCATATGGTTTCACTCACACATTGAATATATGGAATAGCACAGAGAGCCATAGGGGAAGGGATGGAAAATGGAAGGGGGAGAAAATCAGAGAGGGAGATGACCCATGAGAGACTATGGACTTTGGGAAACAAACTGAGGGTTTCAGAGGGGGGCACGTGATGGGGTCGGCCAGGTGATGGGTATTGAGGAGCGCACATGTTGTGATGAGCACTGGGTGTTATACGAAACTGATGTAGTGATGAGCACTGGGTGTTATATGAAACTAATGAATCATTGAACAGTACATCAAAAACTACTATACAGTGGCTAACTGAACATATAAAAAAAAGGAATGGTCCTATAAATTTTCTTGACTACGAATTTGTCTTTAAAAAAATCACATTAAGTAAAATATTCTTTTTTTCGTTTAAAAATATTTATTTTATGTGACCATACTGGTTAATATGTACTTTCCATGCTTGAATAAATTCATAAATAGATCAGTTCTTCATTTTTCTTTGTCAGTTTCTTCATTTTACCCAGGGCTTTTTTCATTCAGAATATTTTAGATTCTTTTTATTACCATAATTACATTGGGCTTTTTGCTAGCCCTTTTAGTCATATGATACATTTAATCTGCGTTTACTGTTTTAAGGACTTGAGATATACTTTGTTAAATATTTTGTATTTATCACTCTAAGTCTATTCATATTGAGCAACCTTTTGGGAATAGAGATGGCTTTTTTTGGTGTAAAATTAAAGGTTTATCATATAATCCCTCTGGCAGGTTGAATTATGTGACACTGAAAATAAAGTTTGATCTAAGCTATGCGGCATATATTTGAAATGTCCACTAGATGTCACTGTTGTCCTTTAATTGCTAGTCTCTTAATCTAGATGTTAGTAAGACCTTAAGTAGTCTTCGTTGTAACTCGTTTTTCTCAGAGTATATATATTCAAATATTCTTTGATGCATTTTGGGAAATGTACATCTTCATACATGATTTACAGGTTTAAGTGTTAAATATATATTTTGTATTCCTTTGTAAACTGGACAAACTTGAAATATTTGGACCATCACAGAATAATTTTAATCTAGTTTTTGCTTCTATTATATCATTTAAGTACTGAAACATTAGCCACATAGAATAAGGGCTCTTTTAGGTAGTCTCTTAATTTTATTCCAAGTGTGTTTATATTTCTGTGTAGTGACCACATAGCCTCATGAGACCAGTAATACTAAATATTACCAGGTGATAATGTAAGTTGTTTTCCTGAAAAACTTAATGAACATACTGCTTTTCTGCCACAGTTCTCACTAAGGAACCATAATTTTTGGATTTTGCTTTAAAATATTAGTGCCTCCTTTGCAGCTCATGATATAAAGTATACTTTATCTTTTAATTATACATCTTTATATGTGATTTATTCTGTTCACCTTTTTTCTAAGTTAAATATTCTGGTATTATTTTGTTTTTTAAGGGAAGATAAGCAGATCATGATTGTATTCTCTTACATTACTACTCTATAGGATGTAAATTGTTATTTTTAAAAAATCTTCTAACTCAGATACTAAGACAAATGATTAAAGTAGTGTTAACTTTTTTTTTTTTTTTTTTAAAGATTTTATTTATTTATTTGACAGAGAGAGATCACAAGTAGACAGAGAGGCAGGCAGAGAGAGAGAGGGAAGCAGGCTCCCTGCTGAGCAGAGAGCCCGATGCGGGACTCGATCCCAGGACCCTGAGATCATGACCTGAGCCGAAGGCAGCAGCTTAACCCACTGAGCCACCCAGGCGCCCTAAAGTAGTGTTAACTTTTATGAAGCTTTTAGAGCCATCATTTCATTAGTTATAGGACTGATTTAACTGAGTGGAAAATCCAACTAAATCTTTTTATATTTTTCCATGGAGGGTTGCCCACAGGAAGGTGTAGTATGTATTGAAGTGTTTAATGGGTTTTCCTTTTTTACTAGAAATTATGGATTTATTTACTTCAAACACTCTAAAAACCTATTTTCTGTCATTTTATTATTGATTTGAGTTGGTAACTTTACAAATATTTAGTTCAGGGCAAGAAAAGCTAATGGCTACCCTATCTATCAAAAAATTATTCTTTTTCTATCATATGTTTTCCTTCATTTCAGTTATAAAGCACACTATTCTATCTTGATCTTAGTTACCTCTGTTGAAAAATCTCTGAGAAGAGATTAAGCCTTCCCTTTACTCTTTGAGGATGCATATTTCAACCTCTATACCTGAGGAGGGACTTACAATGGAAATAAAGTTTAGGCTTTCTACTTAATGGTTATAAGATACTCAAACTAGGTTTGGTCAGATAGAATGCTTTTGATGCCAAAACTGTTGAATAACTTCCTTGATAACATGATGAATTCATTTATGCCACTAATTCTACTTTTTTGTTTTTAAAATTGTCCACTCTACAGTAATTGGGAACCAACAACCTAAGAACATTTCATGAGGTGTTTGTGACTTATTGCTTCCACACAAACTACTTTTTTTTTTTTAACACAAACTACTTATATGTAGAAGTGAGGACTTAGCATTTCAGAGTCTTTATGGCACTATCTTCTCAAAACACATCATCTCAGTTGTGTAATTTTTGTGCAAGAAGTCATGTTCATCATATTATTGAAATTATTCCACAGAAGTTTTCAAGTAAAGATAAATGCTTTTAAAATTTTTATTTAGCTATCTACCTATTTATTTATTTATATTTATTTTTTCCAAGTAGACTCCGTTCTCAGTGTGGGGCTTGAACTCATGACCCGGGAGATTGAGATTCCTGAGCTCTATGGACTGAGTCAGTCGACGCCCTGCTTTTAAAAATTTTTAAACCATTTGCCTTTTAGCATTATGTTTTGGTTTAATGCTGTTTTTTTCCCTCTGCCCTCAGAAGGAAAAATATGTGCGAAGGAAATGTTTTGTCATTTAGAGTGAGAGATGAAAGAATAGTCTATCTTAGATGTAACCATTTTATTTTTAAAGATTTTTATTTATTTATTTGATAGAGATCACAAGTAGAGAGAGAGGCAGGCAGAGTGAGAGAGGGGGGAGCATGCTCCCTGCTAAGCAGGGAGCCGGATGTGGGGCTCGATCCCAGGACCCTAAGATCATGACCCGAGCCAAAGGCAGAGGCTTAACTCACTGAGCCACCTAGGAGCCCACATGTAACCATTTTAATATTGTAGAAAACATCTCCAGCTAAGATTCAAGAAAACAGTCCTTTTCAGTTTGCCGACTATTTACCTTTTAAAAAATGATTATAGAAATTTTTGTACTTAAATATGAGACTAAAGTGAGTTATTAGATATAAAATGACAGCTCTTAAAATTATTTCTATACAGTTCTGTAAAAAACAACTTGTTAACTGAAGGTTAAACAGGTATTTTCAGCATATATGAAAATTGTCCTTTGATTCATTGTTAGCATTCTGCTTCTAAAATTTGTGGCCTCAAAAGGATAGAATATTAATGGAGCACAAGATTGTGCACTTAAGTGAATTTTAAGTTTTGTTTTTGTCTTCAGATAATAAAGCTGTTACCAAAGTTGTTTTTTTTTTTTTTTTTTTAAG